CATCCTTATTTGTCTGATAACTTGCTAAAATACAATTCAATTATATATTTAGGATCTCAACTGAAAACTAGTTTAAATTTAAGGGACATAGTATTTTTCAGAGAAAATTGCAAAAAATATCTCACACGTATACCTCATTATCACTTTTGTTCTGTATTTATCTCTCTGGGAAAATATATCCCACATGTTTTCAAAAGTCGCTATTTCTATCATTTGACCGCGTGTGGCCGCGCGTGATTGTGCGTAAGGGCGCGTGGTGTGAATTTCACGCGCGATAAAAGGACATAAATAACGACTTTTGTAAACATGTGGGATATATTTTGCCAGGGAGATTAATACGGGACAAAAGTGATAATAGGGTATAAGTGTGGGATATTTTTTGCAATTCACTCGTATTTTTCATCATACACATATACACATACTCCCTAAAAAATGTATGTATTTTGTTATTTTTATTTATCCTACACAAATCTAATATCTCCTATAGTAAAATTAGTTATTATGTTAATACTAAAATATTTTTAATATTTAATACTATCTTCGTTCGATAACAAAATTTATATTTACGTTTTGTGTATTGATTTTTAAATATTAATTACTATATTAAACATAGTATAAATCAAAAGAAAATGATGAAAATATTTTTATCACTATCTTATAATATAAATATAATAACATTTGTATAATAATTATACAAATATAAGAATATTTTTAATATTAAGTATAATGATAAAAAATGTAAATGTTACCGAACGGAGGGAGTATATTACAACCATGTCATCAAATAATTAAAACAAACTCTTAATACGAATAAAACATCATGTACTTCGCCTAGTAGGATTTGCCTTTTCGGATCTAATTTGCAGGGTATTAATTTCGATCGGAGGTTTACCTAGAGCATACTCGACGAGTAGCGGCTGCAGGTTCAGCCGTGAGGTCATGAATTCAAACCTCCGACTCCTCAGGTCACCTGCCACACATGGCTCGCCTAGTGTAACTTGTCTATCGGACCTAATTTGTTGGTATTAGGTTCAGCCGGGGGTTTACCCAGTGCGCACTTTCGGGTAGCGACTGCGGGTTCCTACGTCATGTAAAAAAAAAAAAAAAATCAACTTTTTTCCTTCTCTGTTGTCTATGAATTTGTAATAATATTAAAGTTTAAGTGCACCTGTAAATTATGTTAAATACTAATAGGTTGAGTATTTTTTACAATATTATATGAACCACAAATAAGTAAAATTTGGACCTTTTTAGCAATTTCACAAAAGATAGAATGTTTTTGCTATTTTGCCAAAAGATTATTATAATATAAAATTAAAATAAAATACAAGTACACATATTTATAAATATTAAAAAGCAACAATTACTAAGTTACTGAAATAGAAATGAAGATATATATATAGCGGAGGATATGCGGAAGATCGTATCCGCCTAAATTATTAAAATCGCCGTCGAAGAAATATGAACATAAAGTAGGTGTAGATTATTGTTGTTCCACAATTTTATTTTATTTTTAATACTCGTCTTTGTTCATTCATGAAATGCTGTTGAATCTTTTTTTTTTTCTTAATACTCGTCTTTGTTCATTCATGAAATGCTATTAAATCTCATGATCAGCTATGGTATTTAAATTTATAAGTAAACTTATATCATCTTTATGTGATTCTTTATAACCCTTTATTTTTGTTGTTTCCTCATAGGTCTTTTGCATCAATTCAAGATTTTATTATTATTATTATTTTTTTAAATTTTGTTTATATATTGTACTATTGTCGTCTTTCAATTTTTCTTTTACATATATAATTATTCACTCTAATGGGTTTCACTCGAATAGCCACCCATATACTTGTTTAAATTTACAGAAAATCTTACCCTTGTAATATTGGATAATTAGATTCAGAAGTAGAAATAGAATTACCGGAAGGCATAGTTAGCTCTCCGTAATTCAGATTGTTGCTTCACAGTTGAGATGTTATCGCAAAACATAATTGAACTTGAAACTTTTTAAAAAATTCAATATTTCATTAATAAAAACTTTGATCGGTTCAACTGCAAATAAGTTTGAATTTCAATAAATATATTCATACATGTCAAATTTCAATCGTAACATATAATTTATACATACTTACAGTATCTTGCAATGCTCCAATGAGATTCATATTTTCGCAATTCATTTATGAACAACCTTTTTTATATTATTCCATTGATATCATACTGATTTGACATTACAAATTTAATTCAGACTTCCTTTGTTCATTGTATATTGCTTCAATTCTGCTCAAAACTGATCTCTAGATTGATGCACATCTACGGTTGCGCATTGAAAAATATTTATATAACTTGCACACAAATTAATATATTCATGGATAGTGTATCCAAAAGCTTAAGAATTCATTTTGTTTGATTAAGAAATTATAAGAAATGCATATATTGTTTGGTTTGAATGATAATACTAGATATTGTATGATGAATTGTTTTGAAGCTTAGTACATAAAGACAAAAATTGTATGACATTCAATGTTGGATATTGAATTGTGTCTATTAAATTAGTATCTAATGTTGAATTCTAAATTATATCTATTCAATTGGTATTCAGTGTTGATATTGAATTATGTCCATTCAATTGGTATTCAATGTTGAATTCCGAATTATATCCATTCAATTGGTATCAGATATTTATTTTAAATTGTATCATTTTATATATGATATCTAATACTGGATATTGAATCGTGTCCATTCAATTGGTATCCAATGTTGAATTCTAATTTATATTCATTAAATTGGTATCTAATGTGTAATTTTAAATTGCATCATTTTATGTATGATATTAAATGTTGGATTTCAAAATTATATCTATTCAATTTGTATCCAATGTTAAATTTTAAATTGTATCATTTCATGTATGGTATCCAATGTTGTATATTGAATTGTAGTCATTCAATTGATATCTAATGATGAATGATATTTATTTTTAAATTCTTCTATAAATATAAGTGTTAAATGAATTTATAATTCATCTCACTTTATAATGAATTACAATAATATTGGTCCTTCACTTTATAATTCATCATCTATCTTCGAGTTCGAGCGATGAATTTGAAGCGGAACAAAAAGTATTACTCTTAATTGCTTCATAATAGCAATAAAAGATTACAAGATACTCTTTATATGCTCAAGCATTTTTTTTGTTGGTGGTTCGACTCCCGATTATAGAGTGATCTATCGTGATGTGAAGTTGCGTTCAATTTATTCAATGATCACTTAAGTGATAATCCACGATACAACGATGAAATATTTCATTGCCAGTATCGAATGTCTCGATCTGTGTTTCTTTGTATCTTGAGAGTGTTAGATCTCATTATATATACTTTTTTAGTAACGACATGATAGAGTAGGAAACTTGAATTATCACCTATCCAAAAAGCAATCGATGTTTTTCGAATATTGACATATGGTATACCGTAGATGCAACATAAGAGTATGTGAAATCAATAAATCAACTGCAATTGAGAATTTTAAGAAATTTTGTCGTGTTGTTGAAATTTTTACAAAAACCTACCTAAGATCACTTAAGACTAATGATGTGGTGTGACTCCTGCATATTGGTCATAGCCGTGATATTCCAGGGTTGTTGGGTAGTCTAGATTGTATGCATTAGAATTGAAAAAAATTGCCCACTACATTTGCCAAACAATATACATGGCATTCATAGAAAACTGACAATCATCTTGAAAACTATGGTTGATCATGATCTTTGGATATAAGATATCTATTTTGGTTTGTTAGGAACAAATAATGACATCAATGTGTTCGAATCATCAAATTTATTTTTCAATCTTATACAATATTACTCCACCTGCAAATTATGTTATTCAAATAACATAGTACAATATGAAATATTATTTAGTCAATGCTATATACCAAAAGTGGTCAACGTGCAAACTATTAATGAGCCACAAGACCAAAAAAAATACTCCCTCCGTCCGGCTCTAAGGATCCCATTTACGTTTTGCGTTATTGTACTTAACATTGAAAATATTCTTATATTTGTATAATTTTTTGCACAAATGTCATTGTAATAATATTATAAGACACTAATAGAATTATTTTTTTGCCATTTTTCCTTAATTTATATTACATTTTTATATAATAATTAATATTCATATATCAACACTCAAAAAATAATTGAGACCTTAGAGCCGAGCGGAAGTAGTAATATATAACAATGAAACAAGAGGCATGTAAGTAAGGTGTGTGCATTCGGAGCGTCTGCAATCATATTTTGTAATTATTGCAAGACCATGTGTTTTCAGAATAAAGATATTTTTCATGATATAATATATGCGTGCATTATCATGCATAATATGATTATCGAAGATGAACATGATTTCATTGCACAGAAAATAGATGTTCTAAATACACTACTTTTTACAGTTGAAAAGAGTCATCTATGAAGATGTTCGATTTCAATGATTTCTCAACCGATACAGAAAAATTAGAGAAAAAGATATACATGTAATATTAGCGAATGCATTAATAGATCAATTATGAGAACTATATGCTAATGACAATTATTGTAATGATTAACATTTTGGTTATTTGTATTTGTATTTTATATTGTTATTATTTTTTTTAATGTAATTGTGATTTTACTATAATTTTTTATTTTCTTTATTTTTTTAAATTATAAAACATTTCACACAAATAGAATCAAATTAAATTATTGTTGTTATTATTATTATTATTATTATTATTTTATTATTATTATGTTTAAATTACCCATATAATTTGAATCTATATAAAAAATTAAAAAAACATTTTTGAGATTAATACGCTAATAAATAAAAGTTGAATAAAAAAGATGTAATCGTCTAAAATATGAAATATATATATAGAATATTCCTTGTAAAGGAAATAATGGAATGGGCCGAAATTAAGTTAAAAATTTAGAGGAAAATTTGAAAAAGAAAAAAAATGGAGGAATTCGGTTGGGAGTGCTCTTAACTAAATCACATTTGAACCATTGCATTCGCACGAACACAACAATAATAGTTGTCAAGGAAAAGATCATAAATAGATAGAGGGAGCAGATACTTGAATTCAAAAATATTTAACATCCAACCGTTCATTGATGGAATAGTTAGAAATTTTAATATTTTTGGTTTATCTTTTTTTTTTTTTTTTAAATAAAAACGAACGAAGGAAAAAAAAAAAGAAAAAAAAACCCGAAAAACCTGAATTATGAAGCTCCTTCAGTTAATGGCAGCAGACAAAAAGCTCTGGAGGTGAGCTGTGTTGTCATCCTCATCGTTGTCGAAGAAGAAAAAAACTACTCTTTGAGCCAAGGCTCGAGGACCGGCGTCCATTCACATACTTCTCCTTCACCGAACCACAAAGCTACACAGAAGAAAACATGGGAGAAGTTAGCCAGCAGGCATGGACAAAGAGCAAATGTTTCTAGAAATGCCACTACGACATCAATGAAGTTCATAGCACAAACTGTAGAAATTGTTTATATAACAGTTTCACAACATCTCAAATGTGTATTTTCATGAAGGATTATGTGACTTATATGTGGATTCAATTTTGTATAAAAATGCTGAATAATATGGACGGCTAAAATGCACAAAACTTACATGTGATTTCATGAAATTGCGGCAAATCTCATATACTTCTAAAACGGCTTCAAACTCCCTCGTTGTTTCATAAACTCTGCTTCTAACTCTTTCGGCAGTCCTTATTTAATGGTATTTGACATAAATGTGCCCAAACTACGAATAAATTTTAGAATATCAATTTCTAAACCCCTAAGATTACAAGTATATTCATTTTTCTTATATTTAGCCTCAAAAAATAATAAATATACTAAAAAATAGTTTTGTTTTTTTGTTCAGGAGTTTATTTTTACTGTTTTTTTAGGCTAAATATAAAGATATTAAATATATTTGTAATTTTAGGGATTTAGAAATTGAAAATTTATTCGCAATTTTGGCGCATTTATGTCAAATACAGTTAAATAAGGGCCACCGAGGGTTAGACGCAGAGTTTATGAAACCACGAGGGAGATTGACGCAATTTTATAAATATGGGAGATTTGACGCAATTTCGTAAAACTACATGTGGATTTTGTGCAATGCCTAATATGGACTCAACTACTCTGGGAAATTACTTTCTCAGAAAGTGTTAATCAACAGAAGCTATTGCTTTGTTTACCGTAGTATTCAACTTCATTTGCACAATCTAAACAACTTCACATCCAACACTTAATTTTCATTTAAAATTTTACGTAAAGAAAAAGTAAGGTTTATTTAGATCTGTTTCGGTGGTGGTTTGGAATTTTGGAGGGTTTAGATTGTGTTTGGTTGGGGTTTTTCCCCGAGACTTTCACTATTCGTCATTTTCCTTTCCTCCGAAAAATATTAAATCAAACTTATGTTCTTTATATTTTATATTATAATAAATATTAATTTTATATTCAAAATATCACATCAATATTTATTTATAACACATCAACCAGCTACTAAAATTTAAAAGTTTTACTCATCAAAATCCAAATTCCCAACCAAACATACCTTAAAATGTTTGATGTGACATATATACATATGTGTTGGATGAGATATTTTGAATAGAAAATACGTTTTTGATATAATATTTTAAATAAAAAATAAGTATTAAATGTGCTGTTTTTTTTTAAAAGTCTATTAATGAATAGTGAGAAAACAAATTTAAAAAAATAAGTAAACAAAATCTATTCTTTATTGAAAATACATCATTTCCAACACATATTACATACAATTTTTAACCATTCCCAAAACATCTTTAAGCGTGCCCATAACCACATTTCTTGGGAGTTGTCTACCTGAATTTTCCTTCTAAATGCACTGAACATGAAAGAATTGGGGTGTGTTCTTTTGCACAAAATTTTCCAACACATTTTTCTAAGAAAATTAATATATTATACGTACTCATTATTTTTATATTATCTACACAATTTCTTATACCTCAGATAAAAAATACCCCTCCAAACCAAAACAAAAAACAAACCTTATAGACACAGGATAATAAGTTTCCTACTATTGCATATCTGTTGGACCTTCATCAAGAAGCACAAAAATTCATGCTACCTATGTGTACGCGAACAAAATATCATATTAAGTCACTATTTTCCGCTCCAAAAAATTCAGATTCAGAAGAACCAAAAACACAACCCTAAGTCTTTTAGTGTTTTTACAGGGTAGATTGATTGACTTTGGTGTAAAGTTTCAAACATATTTAAGATCATTGAGCCTTAAGACACAGTCATACATTCTAATTCTTGAATGTCCAAAACAATATATGAAACTTACCTATTTCCCTTTTGCCATTCTCGGGACTGTCACTCCCATGAATCACATTCCTGCCATCGAAGAAATATGAAATTGTGAGAATCAACAGATCAATAGGATGCCAAGTAGAAAAATGTAGATCAAGTCTAAAAAATTTTGCTTTGGGGGAAAAAGTAACAGTTGGAGCATGTAGTGGCTGCACCTTCCTGTTTGAACTGCAAGATCTCCTCTAATTGTGCCTGGCTCGGCATTGAGAGGATTTGTCACCCCAATTAACTTGCGCGCTGATGCAACAACACCGACTCCTTCCCAAGCCTTGACAACATAAAGTTTAGGTGAAAATTTTGCATGTTGTTGTCTCACAATTAAAGACTCATTTCCATTTAAATCCCACTGGAATTTGTTTTCCAAATTTAATTCCATGGTCGACAAAAGAATTTCAATCCAAGTTCAAAGTCTAATAGTTTTAGACCCACCAGAAGCTTATTCATCAAAATAAACATAATTTACTTGTCATCGAATGAATTGAAGTTATGTAGAGTGTTTCAAAACTTATTAAACACTATACAGCTTCATAAATCTCATGTGACTAAAAGTAGGTAGCATGATTTCAGTCTCATACATGGGACTTCTCGTCATTTACACAATTTATTTAGGGTGTGTTCGTTTGATGGATTTTGACAAAATCCTGCTATTTATCCAAAATTTTCCCCCCAAAAACATCAAATCAAACACCTATTTTTCATTTTTTATATTATACTAAAAATTTAATTTTACATTCAAAACATCACATGAATATTTATTTATATCACATCATACAACTATTCAAATTCAAAATTTTTACTATTCAAATCCCAACTCAAAATCCAAACCCCCAAACAAACACACCCTTAAAATATATTGAAAATTAATCATACAACTAGTTCAAATTCGCTCTTTTAAGTCTCCAACACCGAAATTTCACATGTGCCAGCCATGTGAGATGAACAGAAAACATCCACATAGGCAAGCCCTGTTAGTTTCATTAGCTCACATAACTGGCATGCACAAAATTCCAGTACCAAAAGGCCAGAACAACAACAGCATCAAATTACTTTCAAGACTAATTTCCAATTGTTCAAATAAACGACAAGGTTGACGTGCATACTAAAATTGTAGGCCCTGATTACTTAGAATTTGATTACAGTTTCTTCACTATACAACCATTATTTCCGATAAAAATATACTATTTACTCTCGCTAAACATAAACATCCAAACTACTATTTAAACCAAAACCCAAAACCAAATTTCAAGTAAACAAAACCCGTAATTTCCCTAAAAATATGCTACTCTTGAACAAATAATGGCAGTGTGTTTTGTCTTTTTATCTTGTTTTCGAACTAAGCAATCCATATTAAAATACATTCCCTGTAAAAACCATGAAATCCAATACTTATTTTCCATTGAAAACATCATATTCAACACTTACTTTTCCCTTCAAAACATCACATCCAAAACATAATTTAGATTTTTTTTTTTTTTAAATCCAAACCCAAGACACCCTGAAACATCTAAACAATCCAAAACACAATCATTTTTCTTGTGAGACCAAAACCATGCCATTTTGCATAAATGTTACAAAAAAAATTGAAATGATTGAAGGACAGGACAAAGAAACAAAATTCAATTACAACACATTTGGTCGTAAAGAGAATCCGAAATAGGAGCCATACCATACAAACAACAGGGCCAGATGTAATGTAGTTCACCAATTTAGGGAAAAATGGTTTGGATTGCAGATCTTTGTAATGCTCCTGTATGAAAAATATCAACAAAACATTCACCAACCAATATGTTCTTCAATCAATGGAAATAATTTCAGCGAAACAACTCACAAAATCCATACAAATGTAAACCAAATCAGTTATCCTGAAATCAGACAGACCTTTGCTAATTCTTCTGAGCATTGAAAAAGCTTCAAGCCTTTCAACTTAAAGCCTTTCTTCTCAAACCTTGAAATTATCTCTCCAACCTTTTCCATTTTTCACAAAATTGAGTAACCAACAACCGAAATTCTCACAAATAGAACAAACAAATCGATTAAGGACTGAAGAAATCTCACCAGGCCTCGTTGAACGCCATCTGGTTTGATCATAACGTAACTCTCCTCCACGTCCTCCTGCAAAACCACCCCAAAAACACATCCACAGTTATAAAATTGAAGTAAGGCATAAACCTCTGGCAAAAGGGAAAATTTTCGGAGATGAATACCATGGAAGCGACCAGGTGTGGAAGGAATATCCGCGGCTTGTGGAGCCTTCTGGAAGCAGGGGTGGTCGGCGCGAAGAGATTGGAAACCGGCCGGATTGAAGCGAGGCGGGTGGCAGGGAGGACTGCACGGCGAACATTGGTGGCGCGTGCGGTAGAAGCGCGCGGAGTGAGAGCGGCAGCACCTCCACCAAATGCGACGGCGCAAGCTGAAGCCGCCATTGTTGCTGCAGTTTAGTGTTAGGTGTGTCAAGTCAATCTTCACTTTTCACTTCTTCAGTCGGCCGTCTAAATGTCCAATCCAGATTAAGACGACAACCTCTGAAATTACATTACTGTCCCTGCACTGTAAGTAAAAGAATTTCTCCTTTAAAGTGTTCTTTTTTAAAGTTACCATTAGGGTTGGTTTTTTTTTTTTTTTTTTTTTGGATTTTGAGTTTGATTTAATCAGTCAAAATTTTGAATTAAAATAATTGTATAGATATAAATAAATGTTGATATAATATTTTAAATATAAAGTTAATTTTTAGTACAGCCTCCGTCACTTAAGTAAGGTATATTATTATTATATTGATATACAATAGAAATAAAGTAAAAATAATATAAAAGTAATAATATATATGTAATATATTATAAATTGTAATAATAATTTTAATGTTATATAAGTAGTGCAATTATTTAAAAAAAATTGATACTTTATTATGAAATGGACCAAAATAGATAATTTATTAAGTAACGAAGAAAATATAATATAAAAAATAAATTTTTAATTTAATGTGGTTAAAATCCTTTAAGGGTGTGTTCGGTTGAGAGATTTAGACAAAATCTCACTATTCATCCAAAATTTTCCCCCCAAAAATATCAAATCAAATACCTATTTTTTATTTTTTATATTATACTAAAAATCAATTTTACATCCAAAACATCACATCATCACCTATTTATATCACATCATACAACTATTCAAATTCAAAATTTTTACTATTCAAATCCCAACTCAAAATCCAAACCCCAAACAAACACACCCTAAATCTTTTAAACAAACATTCTACTATACTCCACTTTCCAATTAATATTATAAAATTCATATAGCATCGTCACGTATAATTTTTTTTTATTTTTATTTTTGTTTGTTTTGTATATATATATTTTTTCGAGAATATGAGTATACATTTTAATTATATTTTATATTTTATAAATTTTTTAATTTTAATTAAATTATTTACTTATTTTAATTTTAATCTATAATTAATTATACTATACATATTTTTTAATTACTTACTAATTACTCTCTCCGTATGAAATTTTAGATATTGGATAATTAGTAATTAAAAAATATATTAGTAAAAATCTTTATGATTTAAAAATATTATAAATTAAGATTAAGATAGATTAAATAGTTTACTTTAAAAAAAGAATTATAAATTATGAATTTTAAAATCTGATTAAAGTGTATAATTATATTTTTCAAAAAAAAAATGACAATTTATATGGGACGAAAGAAAATAGAAAGAGAGCACAAATTAAGTTGCACGGAGGGAATATATTTTACATAAATTCTCGTATATACAGTAATAAATGCCAAATTATATGGGACAAAGAGAAGTAAAGTCCTGTTTGGATTGACTTTTGGTAGGAGCTTTTGGCTCCTACTTATGTAAAAAGCATTTTCTACCTATTTGCATTGATATCTGTTCAAAAGCAGAAGCAGTTTTTGAGGCTAAAAAGTATTTTTCTAAAAGCATTTTGAAGGCAGCTTCTGAAGTAAACAGAAACACTTTTTAATTAAAAATACTGTTTTATTCAATAATAATAATAATAATAATAAAAATAAATACAATAATATAATATAATACTATTGTAATATAAAAATAATTAATTTATATATAATATAAAAAATATATATATTATATTTTAATGAAAATTAAATTATTATTTTTAATTTATGTGTTATACTTTAATTAAAATTTAAAATTATAATTAAGATACCAACTTTAAATAGGAATATATAAATTTTTTAATTATACTAAAATTATTAATATAACTTATAAAATTTTAAAATACAAATAATTTAATATTGGATTGTAAATTTTATTTGTAATTTATATATTATCCTTAAATTTAAATTTTAAAATATAAATAACTAATTTTTTTTAAAAATATATTTTTTGTACTATAATTTAAAATCTTTAAATATAATTAATAAAATTTTAAAATAAATTATAAAAATTTTATAGAAAAATACTATTATATTAACACCGTGTCTTTTGAGTAATTTTAACGATTTAAAAGCACTTTTACTCTGTTTTATACGGATTGATCCAAACACAGATTCGAACTGCTTTTGACTTTTGACATTTTTTTGTGCTTCTACTTTTGGCTTCTACTTGTGCTTCTGCATTTGACTTTGCTTATTTTTTAAATCAATCAAACGAATCCTAATATTACGTAAAGTACAGAGGTATTTTTTTATTAATAAAATAATTTCACTAAAAATAATGAAACTATACATTTGAATTGGATAGAAAAAATAACATAATAATTACATATGACTTGGACATAATGCTCTCTCATTCCCAATTTGAAGGTATCTTTGTAAATTAAAAAATAATAATATTTAACTAACTTTAAAAAATATAAAAAAAAAACTTATTTTTATATTATCACATTATCGACAAAATCTCGTATTGATAACATCTTATAAAATATATACCCTTCGTCCCTTAACAATTTTTCTATTTTTGTCCATCCCATAATAAAGTATTCATTTTCGTTTTTAGTAACTATACTATTTACCTGACATTTTAAATACCCTTCCAATTTATAATATATTACACAAATATCATTATTTTTATATCATACTATACTAATAAGAACAATTTTAATATTTTTAAAACTTTATGCAAAAAATAAATGAATATTTAAATATAAAAAAGAGAGAGTATAAAATATAAATATAATAATGATACAATATTTAAAATGTGTGTGTTTGTAATTAAAAGAGAAACAGAGAGAGGAGATACAGAGAGCCGTAGAGAGAGATAGTGAGAGAGAAGAGACACACTGAGGGATTTACATAAAATTGAAATTGGAAGTATTTTTATTATGAAACTTAACATCTATATTTATAGATGCAATACAACTAATATAATGACACTTATATGATACTTCCTATCAAATAATAATATGTATCATAACAAAAAATAATTTGTTAACTAATACAAAACTTTAACAATAAAATTTATTATTATTATTATTATACGAATAACTATCCATTAATTATTAATTTTTTTAAAAGTGTATCAGCTAGCAAATTATTTTTAAATTTTTATTCGAATTAACTGATACAAAATTTTAACACTAAAATATAATCCATCCATACTAAAACTATAGTCTTAGTTGGATTGAGCTCCTGATTTAAAGAATATTGATATTATATTATTAATCGGTAAAAAGTATAGGTAAAATATTATTTTGTCATTGTGAGTGTATTAGTGTAAAAAAATAGTGGCAATTGTGTAATAAAAATGAAAAGTATGGATAATTTACCAATCGACTTGTTAATCAACGACTAAGTCTAGCCAAGTCCACGGCTAATATAATTTACAATCCACGGCCATATTCACGATTTATACAATTTATTAATTGACTTATAATTAACAACTAAGTCTAGTTAAATCTACGACTTATACAATTTACCAATCGCCTTTCCAATCAATGGCTAAATTTAGTCAAATCGCTTATACAATTTACTAATCTACTTTCCAATCAACAATTAAATCTAGTCAAATCATGGCTAATACAATTTACAATCGACTTGTTAATCAACGGCTAAGTCTAACTAAATCCACAACTATCACAATTTATCAATCGACTTGCTAATCAATGACTAAGTCTAGCCAAATTTACTGCTCACACAATCTATCAATCGACTTGTCAATCAACGGCTAAGTCTAGCCAAATTTACTGCTCACACAATCTATCAATCGACTTGTCAATCAACGGCTAAGTCTAGCCAAATCGACAACTTATAAAATTTATCAATTGACTTGCCAAACAATGGCCAAGTCTGGCCAAATCGTATGATTAATACAATTTACCATTTGACTTATCAATCAAGGACTAAGTCTAGCAAAATCTACGGCCCATACAATTTAACAATAATTATTTGCTTGTCAACAACATCAATAACTTAATAAACAATTTATCATATGCATTATATATCACATCAACTGCATTTAGCAATTAGTATTATCATATCACAAGAAGTTCGCCATATATTACGAAGACATAATCATAACGGTCCATTCATTTCAAGCGTGCATAATTTAACTCATTACCTTAATCGTAAACTTATCAAACAATAAATCACAACTCCAAGCCGGTCGGGACCCCCGGATAATCTTAAACCACAAAGTTAAACCACAACAAATACATGAACATCAAACAACAATAATGCATAAAACTCGATAACTCAGACAAAAAATCACACACACGGCTCACAAATGATCTCGACTCAATCCAACAACTATCAAAATCATTCACAAGGCTTTAGAATACCTTTATAAATTATTTTCAAGTCAAAAGTCATTCAAATAAGGCTGAAAAATCAGAGCACGGGTCAAATGATGTCGATTTTACAATTTTAAAATCTCAAATTGTATAATTAAGGTCCAATTGCAATAATATGTGAAAAATTTCCATCAATTAACACCCCCACATGCTAAATTAAGTTTAAAAACTCTAATTTGAAAATCAATTTGGGAAAAATTGCACTTAAACTCAATTTCTCAAAATTTACATAAAATTCAATCCGTAAATGGAGATGAACTCAGACACATTCATTCTCAAACTGAAATTACACCATTGAAAGATGAACAAAGCTTGGATAATACTTTAGAATAGAAAGAGATCAAAAAATATAAATTAGTTAAAATGGAATGGAATGGTGTGATTCTCTAATCTCCCATGAACCTTATCTATTTTTTTAGGACAAAATGAGGGAGAAATAAGGGTGGGCGAGGGTGTTAATTTTTCAAAATATGCAATACACACTTTATGAAATCGTTTGACCGTACGGTTACCATACGACCTAGACATTAAGACACTATTTGGGTTGTAACTCACTCTTCCGACCTCCAATTGACCTCTCGTTTGTGGCAACGCATACCTAACTCAAATTACTATCTATCTGTAAAATTTAAGATTAATTGAATTTATACACGATTTATGGTGAATTTTGAAATTTAACAGTTGTGACATGAACTCTTAACATATAACTTTTTACTAAATTGAACATATATCTTTTGTCCAACATTCAATAGGCTCTTCATCAGTGGCATTGAAAAGATACTGTGAAGGCCTATTTAATTAGATCAAATCACCTACAATAAATAAAAACTAAAAAATCTGTATCCGATTAAAATAAACTTGTCGACAAGGGTTAAAACAATTAAATTCATTAAACATCTAATGAGATGATTCCGTTACGGGTCAGGTATTACACAACATCAATTAAAGAAACATTGTCTAGCCCTGATGCTCTTTTATAAAAAGCGATGGACTCAGTTATGTAGAATAAAACTTGTGTGTTAGGTGATTTATACGAAGATTGTAAGCCTTTAGCGTGTAAATGTGTCTTTTAAAAAATCAAAACTGATGTGTCTATTGATAAATATGAAGTCCGTCTCGTAATGAAAGATTACAGACAAACCAAAGGGGTTTGATTTCTTCGATACATATTCACCGGTAATCAAGATAACATTAATTCAAGTGTTTCTCTCAACTACATCTTTAAACAATCTTGAAATTCATCAAATAAATATAAAGATTGTATTCATAAATGATAAATTGAAATAAGAAATATATATGAAATAACCGAAAAGATATGTTGTTCTATACTAAGAGAAAAATATAAGTAAACTGATAAAGTCTCTTTACGAACTATAACACACTATGTAAGATATCTCAAAAATTTGAAGGGTACTATGATTTTAATTGGATATCTCATACGAAAGACTTAATGTCTGAGAGGATATATGTATGTGCTAATGGAAGATAAGTTGTTTCGTGAAAATTTACAAAATATACGTGTATCCACTAGAGAATCGAAGCTAATCGCTTTGGATAAAACCGATGAAGAAGTTGAATGGCTTAGAAACATTTTGGATAACATTCCATACTATGATCAACTATGATAGTAATGGCACATAGCATAATTTATAACAATAAATCTTGACATATCTGATATGGACACAATATTGTAAGATATTTTATCACTAGCGGGATATTGAATATTGACTATGAGAAGCCAAAGAAAATCCAGCAAATCTACTTACTAAAGGTTTATAAAGAGATCAAATGTACAACTTGTTGAGCGGAATTGGTCTAAAATCTATAAAATAAACACGATTACAGTGGTAACCCAACTAAATTACTTGAAGATCCCAAACTTTCTTTCAATAAGAAAACTAAACGCTGAAAATCCAACGGTAACACTTGAATACCATTTTCAATATAGCAACTGGTGTAAATTTGTGCAAATATGATGAGGTTGCATAAAAAATTCTTAAGAATCTTGCAAGTATGACCTGAATATTTTAAAATAGAATTACCTATGTAAGTATGAAGTGTAGACCGCTTTTAAAAAAAACACTGATAAATTCAAATATGTAATTCAAATATGTAATTCAAGTATGACCTGAATATATGAATAAAATGAGACTAAAAAAAGTATACCCAAAACTCTTTTTGTATTATCTCGAGATGAGCCAAGATGTATTGGCCCAAAAACGAATTTTCTCATATATATATCCATTGGAAAAATCAATCCATGTAAATAATCACGACAGAAACTAAGACAACAATCATGGCCGATGTTATGGCCATTTGATCATGTTGGTTTCCATTTCCACCTCAGTCGTGTGCCTATAAAAGGGAAACCTCCTCTCCGGTTAAGTTTTTTTGGCAATCTCTTTCTACATCACTCAGTTCCGTCCTCATTCTAATTTGTCAGATGATTTAAGGTATCACTATCAACGGAGACGAAACCGATTCATCTTCGGAAATAATTCGCTATCTACCAAACATACTACGAAAAAAGACTACTTTATGAAAAGAATTTCCACTCGACTCAGCTTACAGTCAATTTTACTATTCCATTGTATTCCCACAAATATATTATTCCTACAGTCTCCTTTCCAACTGCCCATAATTTGAAAAAGAACATTCCCCAGTAATTGCAATATGGATCAAAACACAACAACACAAATTGATATGCTGCCTATTGAATTACCAAAAAACCAAAAATGCATTAATTCCCTATAGGAAATGCATCTCAGGAAAAATATTGGCGCCAATATAATATATATATATATATAGAGAGAGAGATGTATATATTACACACACAAGGGTTTTATTTTATTTTGAATGTTTTTTCGATTTTTTTACTATACAACTTTCCTGATTATCCATAAAAATAAACTATAATCGCATAAAATGCTACATTAAACTACTATTTTAAACAAAAAAATTAGAACAAAATATACAAACACTGCCAAAAAAATAAATGCCCATAGAGAGAGAGTTATATGGATAAGCTTAATCTTTGAAACATAACTGCCAATATCACGATTTTCATGAATCTAAAAAGGGAATCTTAACTGATATATTCGATGTGCTTGGGAGCAGATTAATGCTCTTTGCAGATGATATGTCTCTTGAGGACTCGAACGCGCGAGAAGCTTCTAGAGCCATCTCAGCATGGAGTTGGAGGCATGTCACCGCCAGCTGCAACACAATCACATAATCAAATGTTTGAAAAATGGATTGATCCATCATGCTGTGGTCACAGCAAAACAAACAATGTCTAGGCATCGCATCAAATAGACTCAAAATGAGGCTAGAAAGTTGGGATAAACATCCTTCTATACAGTACTCGTGTTTTTATATAGATGCATAAAATACTATGTGAAATTTTATTATATAACTCACTACTATGTCAATAAATATATACTCAGAACCCTTACCTTGTATATAACTAAAGGGAGTTATAGCATTTAAACTAACACGGAGGTGAATTATACAATAAAATCTACAAATAATATTTTATACATTTAAAGAAAAAAATACAGGTAATGTAAATGCAATTTATACCAATTTGGATTAACACTTCAGAAAATATTTATGATCAGCAAAGTGGGACTTTCAGCAGTTTTGGGTACGCAAGAGCAGCTAAAGGATCGACTAGTAAATCGAGAAGTACTCAAAGAATGTTTGGGAAAAGATAATCAAGGTAAAAGCCAGGAGGAGACAGTTAAATGCATCAGTTAATAGTATAAATATGATATGAAACTTCAGTTTATGGAATGACTCACCGTGTGGCATTCTCTGTCCATGTCTTTGTCAGCCACCTGTAAAGCCCATGTGCGAACCCACTCAAGCCCTTCAGAGATTTCGGCATTTCCTTCGACAACTGCAGCGGCAACATATGAGGGATGAAGGGCCAAAATAACACACGAAGCTGCAAATAGTACAGACTTTCGCACATATGCTTCTGCGTGATGAGATATCTCCCTGTCCATCAATATATAGGACAAAATCCAAAGTCAAAGAGCATCCGATTAACGAGAGATTGGCCAAACTCAAAGATAGAAAAGTCAAAATGTCAACCAATAACTAATTCCCCCCACATTAGTGATACAATGTCAATACCTGGATCTCAGCATATCCAAGAGTGGGGATGCCAAGACAGAAGCTTCAGGATGCATTGCAGCGCATTTCATACACACACCGAGCATGTGGATGAGTTTTCCAAGGACAATAGAATCCCTCCCCAGCAAATCAACTCCGTGTCTCTTCTTATCGTATCCCTGCATGGCTGGAAGCATAAATGCAGCTGCATACTGAGGAAAGGTATTTTGAGACCATTCCATATTGTTATCCTGCAGTGCTGTTTGAAGACTCCATCGACGTGTTTTCCCTCTCTTGACCTGTCCTGCTTTGGATGGCAATTCTCTTTCGTAGGAGTAAGACCAGTTCAATGGAGCTCCGGTCGATGGGATTTCCTTCCAGGACCCTGTTCCTGGAGGACCGATGTTTTTTGGTACAAACCACGGTTGATCAGAAGTGGAAGATATAAGATTCCTTGGTCGGCGCTCTGTCTTTAATATTTTAGAATTTGCAAGTTCCTGAGCCGCATCAGTCATGACATCCAATATCATTATCCGTTGACTGACGTCCACATTAGGTGAATAAAGCAGTTTATTCATACTATCAAGTGATTCGAGAGGGCGGGTCACAATCAATGCCACGAGTGCCTTTTGTCTTTTTTCTTCAGCTGATTCTTCTTCTCCTTCAGCAGTTAAGTCAGAGCACCGAACCTGTACAAGACATTTTGCCAGATCACCAGCTAGATACTTAAGCTCATCTGTTGATGCTCGAATTAGCTTCTCGGCAACATCAAGGGCATTCTCAACCTGTAAAATTGGGAAGATGACTTCAAACATTACGGAATGATCTTTTTGATCACATAATCATCTTCACCCCATTTAAATCAAACACAACATCCATAATAATACCACCAGCAGATTTTCACATTTAAGTGCAGGGGATCATCATTGAGTGAAGTTTTCTCAAATGCTCATGAAAGTTCACTAATTAATATAATACGACCTATTAGGTGCAATGCTTCACATGACAAGAAACACTCATTAATCTATTGCATGATAATAGACCACAGCTATAACCATGCAACTGTAAGAGAAAGAGAGAAAAAGTCTGGAACTTACACCCTCAGCATCATCTGTTTTTCTAAGGGCTCCAACCACATCAACCAACTGTGAGAGTTTTCTTTTCAGGTCTCCATCATCATCTGTCAAGTCATATGGCTGTAAAGATGAGTTGCTTGAGGTTTCAGAATCCTCACTTTCATAGCCAATCTCATTTTCATCAGCATTGAACTCATTATTTAATGTTGCAGGATCAATAACTTCATCTGGGTCAATTAACTCAAAATCAGAGTTTTTTATGACTTTTGAGGTTTTACCGACCCCATTATATTCTCTGTTCACAGTTTCATTCCCGCTAAGCACAGTAGAAGAGCTTTCTCTTTCTTCAGTCTTTTTCTTGCCACTGTCTCCTGTTACTGCCAAAACCCCTTTGTTGTGGGTTGCTAGTCCGAAGTCCCAGTCAATGGTTTCTTCCTGACAGCTATCATCAAGATACAATGGATTTTGGGGATCGATAACCTTGGAAAATGCTAAAGCAACGGAGCTTGCCATTTTTCGAATCAAATATACAGGACTCTCCAACCTGCCTGTGATATGAAATTTATGATTCAAAAACTGATTTAGACAGAAAATTGACTAAAACCACAATTAATGAAAAGGAACAGAATCTTACAGCCAACTCCTTTAAGGATAGAGTGCAATCCATCCTTTGTTCTATCCAGATCTTGTTTAGTCATCTTCTCCAGGCAAAGGCCCAGAGCAGCAGTTACATCTGATCCCATGTTAAGTTGTGGCAGGAGAAAATTGTCTGACCAGAATGGAGACATAATATTACAAAACACTTTTGATTATTCTAAGTTCACAGCAGACACCAAACATGATCAACACATCTAACAGATAATAAAAAGGATACAAGCTTGCTGCTCAACTGGGGATGATTGCACAAACTCTTGCCTTGACCATGCTACCACAAGACAGTGCACTGTGTCTGAGAGACCACAAGCATTATAAGACTTCAACGAGGCACTGTTTGGTGAGCATTCAAGCACAGCAAACTGAATAATCCATCTTAAGCAGCAAGTGGGAAATACTTTCCAGAGTAAAAACTTTTCTACAAACATAAACCTGGATTACAAAGAGAGGTCAGAAGTACAAATCTTCACCTAAGGGGGGAAACAGACCAATATTTGACAAAAGAAGAAGTAGATAAGCATATTTGAACACGGAGAAACCCAAACTATTGATTAATCTTTATTTTCATCAGATTATGCCTTTTTGAAGAGCGGAGACATGTGCATCTATTACACAGATGGTCATTGGCTGACAACTTAAATTGCGCATCCAAATAAATTTAGAAAGGCACAGCAGATAATTTGAACTTCTGAGGGAAGAAAAGTATGAAATCTTTCTATGTACCTGATTGAAGTTAGGCGCTTATAGATCCTACCAAAAAGTATCCACAAAATCCAGTAACCCTCGATGTCATTAACATTTTGAACAGCTAACTGATTTAGCAGTTCTTCAGCTATTCTTTCAACAGAATGAGAATCATTCACTGCATCCATTATCGTTAACCAGAAGCGGAACCCAGGTTTTGCCTCAAAGGTTTTTCCAATATCTTGATCAGAGGTTGAGTTTAAGATGCTTCTAATGTACTCAAGGATCTGTGGAATCACCTCACTCAAAAGAATGTCTGTCAAAATGTCAAAACAGTGAAGATTTCATATTCTATACACGGCAAAATACAAGGATGGTCAAAAAAATTTTACTTCATATCCGAGGAAATTAAAATACCAGTAAATCCTCGGCGACTGATCCGAGCAAATGCTTCTCCAACAAAAAGAATGGTGCCATCCATAGGAACGTGATTGTTAACAGATGACTCGCCAACAGGCTTCACATCCCACTCTTCCGCTCCAAGGAGAAGCTGAGAGGTAAGTCTTTTGTAGAATGAACTTAAAATCAAGTTAAAAATAAACAAATCAAGAAGGAAGTTGCAAGGATTGCATGGAATGATATCTCAACACTCAAAATATGACAGGGGCTCCAAGTCAAAGCACCAAATTTATGACTTATGACATGTGTTTGCTTTCTATTCAGCATCTTTTTCCAATCCATACTTCCTTTATGCTAGTTAGCTAAGCTAAATGACATGGCCACCATCAGTTTAGAGAAGAATCTAAAACATATGTACATAGAATAAAAAAAAGCCTAACTGGTATGATTTTACAAACTCTAATGTGCCAACAAGATACACAACTTGAATCACATATAATGAAATTAGACAAAAGCCAATTGTGTATTAAAATTCAAGATAAGGATACACTGGAGAAAGCGCAGCAGGAGCACCACGTCTTGCTTTGTCAGGAATAGAAGTGATAAGCTGAGAGATCCTAGAAATAGTCTGCCTCAGTTGTTCATGGCTGACATCTTCAAACTGACCACCGGAAGCAAATTCTCTAGCTATCTGAAGTACCATATCATTCTCCAGCAGACAAAGCACAAGTAATCTAACATACATATTGTGTGAGAAAATTTTTCAGAATACAAAATACAGATCTTTACAATTGTATCATGGTTTTCTGTAGTGTTAAATAAAGTAGGAACATAAAAATGAACTAGATATAAAAAATGTCAGATTTTATTAAGAACTGACTTAAAAACAAAACAAGCCATTAAGGTAACAGAGATAATCAAACCATGCAGTTATGAGAATAGATAGTAAAATACGTATCTCACCTTTCAGCATTTGAGCACACAGAACTTGAGTCATGATTGCTATTTCCACTGAATTGTAGGCAAGGAACCAACACTTGAACAATCTCAGTGGCACAACCATTTGTAAAGAACACATTGTATACACATTTTCTTGCAGGTGGTGGAAAACAGACGAGCCAATTGGAAGCAATATCTATACATCATGAAAATATCATTTAGATGCCACAGCAAAAGCCATACCTATCCAATATCAAATGAACAAACAATATACAACAAAACAATGTGACCTTCCTGCCATTTCAAGTAGAAAATGCATTATCTGTATGACTTTAAAGAAAGGAGTAGAGATGACGATGGTATGTGCAACAAGAAGCACATTTTAAAGTTTATCTCGCAACAATACTTCCTAAGTTGCCACTGACAACGGATTAATGGGAAAGGCTACAACAGATAATTAATACTATTACTTTTGCCATGTTATCTTAATAACCACTAAAGAGATTTACAAAGAAACTACAATCCAACATTTTAAGATTGCTGAAAATATGTATTATGAATACCAAAAACATAGAGCTTGAAAGTTCAAAGGATCATTGTCGCAAAGTGTTGGAAAACAAAGGACTGAATAGCTGAAAATTGCAAAATTTACCATATAACATAATTTTAGCAAAAGCACTGAATCCTGATCCCTTGTAGAAAACATTCCACCATTCAGTTCCCTCATCTTCAGTCGGGACCTCCATGGCTGATAACTGAAATTTAAGAAAGGAGACTCTGGTTTCCATCAAATTCAAACAAAGGGAAAACAATTTCTTTCCACGTTTCTTCTCAACTTAAGCTTTCAATAATCTTATCTATAATAGAAAGTTCAAAGCAACTGTACAGTTTCAAAAGCGTACCTCGCGTCGGTATTTCTCAGCAACATTGTCTGCGATTCACAAAAAACAATAAATAAATAAATCTAGTGAGCATAATAATCATACTAGGCATATAATGCTCGACTCGCAACCATCAATTAACAAAATTTGTTATATGTACAGAAAAATTGTGAACCTGAAATGGAATCGGGAGGTATTGAGAATAGGCAGACTGCCAGAGAGTAAAGAGATACAATAACTTCGTCGACGTGCCTGGCTTCCTCGATGGAGGAAATAACTTTTCCCACTTTCTCCACAACTATTCGTTCCCGCTCTCTATTTCTCCTTTCTCCTAACCCATCACCTTTCATTACGAGCAAAGAGTAGCCCCAGAAACAAGTATGAAACGAAAATTAAAACTCAAATTTAAGGAAGATTGGAAACCACTAACTGCTTCTAGGTTTTAAGTGCTATTACTTCCGTCGGCAAAGGCAGAGTACGGCGATGCCGGTGCGGAAGGATAGAGGGAGAACGGGAGAGGTACAGTACTATTACTTCCCCCCGGATAGGCGGAGTACGGCGGTGCCGGCGGCGGAACGGTACCGGAAAGACGAGAGAGGAGGTACAATGCGCTGTATTTTTATACTTGTTGGCGTTGTCAGGAATAGCGTTTTTTATATATTTATTTTTATTTTTATTTTTTTATAAAAACATACGTACTTCAAATTTTCTTTTAAGTGTTACTCCATTCGTCCCACATTCTTGTCGTTCTATACGTCCCACCACGTATAATGTCATTTTTCTTTTTTTAAAAATAATTATATACTTTAATCTCATTTTAAATTTTTTAATTTTATTTATTTTTAAATTTTAATTAAATTAATTAATTATCTTAATTTTAATTTATAATTATTTATATTATCAAATAATTATTTTCACTAATATATTTTTGTAGCATCCGTCTCAAACATCGTGCAATATTTTTTTTTATGTCCCAAACACCCTGCAATATTTCCAAAATATAAAATAATTAATTATACTTAATTTCTATCCCACACTTTATCACATTCCATCACCCAAATAAAAAAAATAAAATATACATTTCTCTCTATCACATCACCTGATTTCCAAATTATCTTACTCACATAAAAAATTCAGTGCTCAAAACAAATATTGCATCTTGTTTGGGACGAAAAGAGTAGTATATAAATTACATTAAATATTACTGTGGGTGTGCTTTAGATTTAAGTTTGATTTTGAGAGTTTATACGTGTATTAATGGGATGTTAATGAATAATAATATAAATGTATATTAATTTATATAATTTAATTATAAATTTATATTATATTTATATATATATATATTTAAATTTTTATGATTTTATATTATAAAAAAATTTATTTTTTATTACATAATACTCCCTCCGTGGCACATAATTTGTCTATATTTTTTATTTTTTATTTTCGTCCGTCCTACATAACTTGTCATTTTTATTTTTGGAAATATAATTATGCACTTTAATCGCATTTTAAATTTTAAATTTTATAATTTTCTTAATTTTAATTAAATTATTTACTTATCTTTCATCTTAATCTATAATTATTTTTACTAATACACTTTTTAATTAGTTACTAATTACACTTTATTTAAATTCGCGGTGTCTACAATGATACACCCATATTACATGGGACAGATGGAGTATATATATTGATAATTATTATAATTTTTTTTATATAATTATAATTTAAAAAACTAGTAAAAAAAAAACAGAACTCGGTCAGGCACCAGACAGCCTGGGCTGGACTACTGCAGTAATTCAGCCGAAACCTAAATTTATATAATTATTTAAATTAATAACAAAATTTGTTCGATTTAAATCCGTTAATAAAATAAATTTTTAAAAATCAAACAGAATCTCAAATCACCCCCTAATCGCACTTATTTATGACCATAAATTAAGAAATAAAAGTAAAAATAATAACTGAACCCCAGATCGGAAGACATAAACCTCTGCCGCCTGACTTAATAGCGTGAGAGTTTCTGAGGTTCTTAACCATGGCGGCGGCGGTGGCGGTTCCGGAAACCAGGAAGCTCCCGCGGCCAGGGCGTGGCGGAGTGATTTCCCATGGACTATCGGAAGAAGAAGCGCGTGTCAAAGCTATTGCGGAGATCGTTTCCACTATGGTTGATCTCTCGCGCAAAGGTCAGGACGTGGACCTGAACGCCATCAAATCCGCGGCGTGCAGGAAGTATGGTTTATCCAAGGCGCCGAAGCTCGTTGAGATGATTGCGGCGCTACCGGAATCCGAGAAAGAAGTGCTACTGCCGAAACTTCGAGCAAAACCTGTTCGTACGGCATCGGGGATTGCGGTTGTCGCCGTTATGTCGAAGCCTCACCGCTGTCCGCACATTGCTACGACGGGGAATATATGCGTGTATTGTCCCGGGGGGCCGGATTCGGATTTCGAGTACAGTACGCAGAGTTATACGGGATATGAGCCTACTAGCATGAGAGCTATTAGGGCAAGGTAACAGTCGCCTTATGTTTAATATGTTTCTTGGGTTTTCTTAGGTATTTGCTGGCTGTGATTATCTTTTTTATTTGAACACACATGATGCTTGCTGTTGATTGGATTAAGAGATGTTCTGCTTGAGTGGCTGAATTTTAGGCAATGAAAAAGGTTCTTTTTTTATTGAATATCGTTAATTCTTCTTAGTTTTACGGTGTCTGGCTTTGGAATGGGTACTTTTTGGTTATTGAAGCAAGGGAGTTATTGATAGGAGCAGTTGAGCATGTGGCGCATCCATTCTAAATTGTCAGGCATGGTTGTGATCTTTATTGCAGGGGTGAAACTGGTTTTGAAACACATGCTTTTAACTGGAATAATTTATTAATGGGAATTTAGAAATATTCTCAACTATAACATGACGACTTCCATTCCATTTATTGTTTTCTACATGGTAGAGTGGTGTTATTTTGGTTTTGCTCTGCAAAGAAGGTCCAACAATGTGAGGGTTATCCATGTATTGATGATTTTATCGGAGAGTTTTCAGGGGAATAATAATGGGGCATGAGTACTTTGCTTTGTATGTTTAAGTCTCAGATATTGCTAACTTTTTTTGCTGCCAATGTTGCATAAGCTCTGAAAAAATAACATCGCTTATGTTTTCTCTTATTAAACCTATTTCTGATGACACGTTTGGCTGACTTGAAGTTAAGCATGTCAATGTTTTTATTGCTTGTGTGTGAAAGAGATCGATGATATGCTGTAAAATTATTCTTTATGTGATTTTTATATTTGGTTCCAAGCAAACATGGTTCGTTTTTTGAAGTAGGCTAGTTGGTAAAAGACATGATGGCAAGTGCCTGATTGAGAACATTAGAGGTAGATGATTGCTTGTGTTCTATGGTTCTCTTTTGGTTTGATAAACTTATCAATTTTATAGAATATCTTAGTCATTCAATTCTGTTGCATAAGTGGCGCTGATACTCTCTACTAGAAGATGCTGTTATTGTTATGTGCAATGTATTAATAATATTCAAGATGCTCTCCAAAATCATTTGAAAGAAAATGTGTAATATTTATTTATTACATCTGAAAAGACTTGTGTGTAGTAGGATCGTATTAACAAAATCCCAGGTAGTGGTAACTAGTTTGTCTGAATGAAAACCCGGAGTTGGAAGGCAACACCTTTCCAAGCTCGGAGCATACTTGTTAGGCTATGAAAGCAGGACCTGAAAGGACCTTTTACCGCTAAAGCATAATGCTAATTCACTGGGAAGTTCTTTTCTTTTTTCTCAAAGATTAAAACATAAAAGAACTGAGGCTTAGTACCCTCCTAGATTTGAAACATGTATACTGTTCAATGTTCATTGATTCACAGGTTTCCTGATTTCTCCTTGCTATTGAATCAGTTAAAGAACTATATCTGGTGGAAAATATTGCGTTTGTTAGGATCAAATTACTAACACATAGGCGGACCTTGATTTATACGATCATACAAGGATGTTCTAATTGTTACCATCTTTGGTTTCGGTCTTTTTTATATGTCATTGATCACAAAAGGGTTCCTCAACTAGTCCTCTTGCTTCACATCCTGCTAGTCACTTAGTTGCATGATCATCTTCTATTCATGTGACTACATTAACTGAAGCAAAAGTGATGTTCTCCCTAATACCGAAACAGCAACAGTGCTGCATTTGGGTGCAAAAAGAACAAAACTTTATACAATTAGTTTTCTTCATCTATTCATCTAAAACATGCCACTTGAATGCATAGTCTGATATTCCTATGTTGTCTCATATTGTTTTAATTTTCAATGGTTCTGGTTGAAATGGAAATAAAAAAAAAATAAAGGCATACACTCCTGTTTCCTTAAATGGTTCTCAAATGTGGAGGTGTAAAATTATGCAAAAAATAAAATCTTTGTACTGTTAAAGTTTCTTATAAAATTTTTTAGCATACGCACAAATAGAGATGTATATTTGATTGAAATAGCAGTAAAAATTTGAGCATCAGCTCAAAATTATTTTTGCATATTGATGATGTGAGATATATTACACAACTATTGTTTTATAACGAAGTCCATAAAATTGAGGAATGAAGATATAAAAGAAAAAAATAATCTAAAAAATGAAATAGCAAAGAGAGATGCAGAATGAAAGAAGAAAGGAGGAATTATTCCTATTGAAGAGAACGAGTAGCCTCCCCAAACACTAGAGGTGTGTTTGTTCGTAGGTTTGGATTTTCGAATAGTAAAAAATTGAATTTGAATAATTGTTTGATATGATGTTAATAGATGTTTGATGTGATATTTTGAATGTAAAATAGATTTGTAGTATAATATGAAAAAGAAAAGTAATTGTGTTTTGGAGGAAAAAAAAAAAAATCTATAGAAAAACCCACAAAAGAACACAAATTAGGACTTTCTTGAAATCTTTCACTAAAATATTGAAAAATGGAGTGCCTTTTATAAGGCACTTGCCGGGGCACAATGTTGATATGTGCAGTGGGACTACAACTGTTCAAGGTTGCTATGTGCAGTGTGAGTATGACTGTACAAGGTAGCGATATTCCGTAGAGCCCAATGTTGCTTTATATGGAAGATTCTTGACAATATATTTCTTCTTTGTTTTATTTTGCTCAAATTGTTATTTTCATGTTGGATGGTTATTAAAAACTTGCTAATTACTAGCCTGCATTTAAAATCCCCCCACCATAAATGGATGTGTGTCAACAAACTAATCTTTCATTATTGTGTGTACTAGATACAACCCTTACGTTCAGGCAAGAAGCAGGATTGATCAGCTTAAAAGGTTGGGTCACAGTGTTGACAAGGTTTGTTCTTGTAACCACAGGCTCAAAACTTTTGTTTTGGGTTGAACCGATGTTTTATGTCATTCAAACTTTTGTGATATTTTACAGGTTGAATTCATTTTGATGGGCGGTACTTTTATGTCGTTGCCATCAGACTACCGCGACTATTTCATTAGGAATCTTCATGATGCTTTGTCTGGCCATACATCTGCCAATGTAGAAGAAGCTGTGTCCTATTCTGAGCATGGTGCAACAAAGTGTATTGGAATGACTATTGAAACGTAAGTTGCAAGTATTACTGTGTTTGTTTCTCAGTTCCTGTATCCAGCTCTTGTAGGAACACTCTGATAAGTGATCAATATTTTCGTCTTTTCTTTATGCTTCTATATGCAACTGAGTGAAAATGATGTCTTTGATGCTTCAACTCAAACCCATAATATATAATTTGCTCAGAGAAAGGGACAATTCTCTTCCCTGGTCTTTATAGATGTTGGCTCAATTGTCAATTTCACAGTCTGTTAAAACATAGTAGCTCATTCAAATGATTTTTGTTATTTCTTTTGATGATTCACATTCTGCCAGTGATGAGTTCCCCTTGTTTTGAAATATTAGACGTCCAGACTACTGCCTTGGACCTCATCTGAGGCAGATGCTCACGTATGGTTGTACAAGATTGGAGATTGGAGTACAAAGCACTTATGAGGATGTTGCACGTGACACCAATAGGGGCCACACTGTAGCAGCTGTGGCTGATTGCTTTTGCTTGGCAAAGGATGCTGGTTTTAAGGTAATCCTCCAGTTTGTTTTTCTATTTATTATGTTCTCATAGAACCATTACTTGATCCTGCATATTTTTTAATATTAACAAGAGATCTAGTAAAGATGATATATGGGTCTATACCACATTTGTTGTTTTAATACCACTATATGAATTAAAGTTCCAAACGGTCTCTTTGAATTTGGGAATACACAAAATGAAACCCAAATGTGATGCCAAGTCTAAATCCCAAAGAATGAATCAAATGCTTGTCAAGAAGTTTTGTTTATTAACTTTTGAGAATAGAAAGAGAAGGAAATAATTGGAAATAGTTGTGGATGGTTGGTTGCCAAGAAAGTTAATGGAAAGTTAGTGCAAGGAATTGCGTAATCCATGTTCCTGAAAATGAAGGAAACAAAAGTTCTGTGACATTCTTTCTTCTTGATCATAGTCTCCAAAGATAATTTTTCATTGGATTAATTTGAAAGTTCTTAGCTTTACTAATTGATGTTTAAACTTATTACTTTTTTCTTTCCACACAAATTCTTAAAGCAAACAATACATGAGACTGCATATGTTTATTAATGTATCGTTTACTTCCTTTACATTTCTATTAGATTCTAAGGAGAAAAATTGAACATTGGGTATTTCATGATCCATGCTGCACTCCTGAAGTAGTATTCATGTCTGAGCGCCCTCATAAATTCGACATATTGTATACTGTTGCTCTGCATTATAATCCTGTTTTTGTACTTTCTGACAACAGGTGGTTGCTCACATGATGCCCGATCTTCCAAATGTGGGAGTCGAGAGAGACATGGAAAGTTTCAAAGAGTTCTTTGAAAGCCCCAGGTTTAGGGCCGATGGGCTAAAAATTTATCCCACCCTAGTGATTCGTGGAACCGGACTTTATGAACTTTGGAAAACTGGGAGGTAGAATATCAACTTTATATACTAAAACCTCCATTTCTTGTTCTCGGACGATTTTTTTTCACTCTGTAAATGCTAATTTGGTTTACCTGTACAGGTACCGAAATTACCCCCCTGAACAGCTGGTGGACATTATAGCTCGAATTCTAGCAATGGTTCCTCCTTGGACTCGTGTCTATCGAGTTCAACGAGATATTCCTATGCCTCTAGTGACTTCTGGAGTAGAGAAGGGGAACCTCCGTGAGCTTGCCTTAGCACGCATGGACGACTTGGGCTTGAAATGCCGAGACGTTCGAACACGTGAAGCTGGTATCCAGGCAAGCAAACTTACTTTTTTCCCATTAATTGTTCTTTTTGACATGTACCAGAAAATTGATTTTCACCTGAATAAAATTAGGATATTCACCACAATATAAGGCCAGATGAAATTCAGCTGGTTCGACGTGATTACACAGCCAATGAGGGTTGGGAAACTTTTCTTTCATACGAAGATACACGCCAGGTGCGTCACTCTCAACGCCTGTATACTAAACAGATAAAAAGAATTGGTACAGTTTGTAATTAACTATATGTCGCGATCTGCATCCAGGACATACTGGTGGGGTTGCTGCGCCTGCGGAAATGTGGGCGCAATGTAACATGCCCGGAGCTCACGGGAAAGTGTTCGATAGTGCGCGAACTACATGTTTATGGAACTGCAGTTCCCGTCCACGGACGGGATGCTGATAAACTGCAGCACCAAGGTTACGGCACGTTATTGATGGAAGAGGCGGAACGCATTGCAGTTAAAGAACACAGGTCAAGCAAGATCGCGGTGATCTCGGGAGTGGGAACGAGGCATTACTACCGGAAACTGGGGTATGAGCTCGAAGGTCCGTACATGGTGAAATACCTGAAATGAGAAGAGAAGGTGCGTTTGTAACTTGTTCATTAGTTACATAATGTTGTGTTATATTGGCTGGCTTTATAGTTTTTTTTTGTCCTCTAAATTTGTTTATGAATGTCTTGTCTTGGGGATGTTATACTACCTCTGTCCGCAAAAAGGGTATTTGTTTTTTGCACGTAAATTTTTTAATATTAGTATTGTAGTATTAGTTTATAGTAGAAAAGACAAAATTGTCCATATTAAATTATGTGATAAAAAAGTAATGAAGTTGTAAGGGTATTAATTATATTAAGTAGACAGTACAATTACTAAATTAGAAAATAGTATCTTTCTTTGGTACGGACAAAAATGAAAAATGTTATGGAGCGAGGGAGTATTAAAGTTCCATGTAAAATAGGATGCATCTTACTTATTTTTGTTAGTCAATTGTGGATTTATTTAATAGGACACGAATTTTAAGAAAAATAGGTAAAAATAGAATATTTTATTTTATTTTTAAAGAAAAAGCAGAATAGATAATATTTTGTTAGTAACGTTTGAATGAGATTGAGAAATTTGCTAAAACTTAATGAGGTTAATGTGATTTGCTCCGTCAGCCCATAAGGTCGGTCAATACATTGTTTTAATTAACACGTCATTTATGTATTATATTTATGTTATATATTACTATATTAACATAAGTATTTTATGGTATTTGTTGTCAAGAGGGTGATTAGCCTACAATCAACTACAATTACACCAATAAGTGGATTGTCAATCCACCGTGAGGGCAGCTAAAATTTAATTAGTCCGACACAATTCACTGGTGGATTGTGAGGCAAGTGGGTAAACCCACAAGCTTTTTAGAAATATTAAAATTATAAATATTTTATAATGAATATCTGAGAACATAAATAAAAATATTACTCTTTTGTATAATTTATGTAATATATTATTTGTTACCGTATCGTATGTCCGTTGATCAAGAATCTGGTCCGGTATTTCAGTGTCTATGTCTTATGTAATGATTAGTTTGAATTTACTTTCAAGTGTTATTGTTATATGCACATGCGGTATAGCTGTCAAAAATAGACACTTGTCTAAAAATTCGATTCGAACTCGGCGCGAAAAAATCGTGCTTGGGCTTAAAAATATAGGTCTGAAAAATTTCAGACAGTTAAGCTTTTAGGCGTGACGGTCATGTATATCATCTAACATGATATCAGAGTCATTTGCGTGATTATCATGCTAGTAGAATTCACATCGAGCAAGTTATCTACTTGCTCATTTGCGTGACTATCATTGTTACTCTACCGTATTATTTTATCATGAGCCTAGGTCCTTTTGTAAAGCAAATGTTGATCCATTGTTGCAGCAAGTTATGACCGAGGAATTGCAGGCACTGGGAAAAACTCACACTTGGGATTTAGTGAATTTGCCTTCTAACAAGACACCTATTGAGTGCAAGTTGGTTTTCAAAATAAAGACTAATTATGATGGTTATGTTAAGCGCTACAAAAGGCCCGTTTGGTGGCCAAAGGTTATTCATAGGAGTATGTAGTTGACTATGAGGAGACATTTGCTTGTCTTATTACTGTTCGTTGTCTTCTTTCCATTGCTGTTATTCGTCGGTGGTTCCTTCTCCAGTTAGATGCTAAGCATGCATTCTTACATGACACTATTTATGAAGAAGTTTATGACTCCTCCTCTAGGTTTCTCGCTTACGTTGCATTTTATATTGGTTGAAGCAGACCCGAGTCACATTTAGCTCTGCACTTTCGGAGTTTGGTTTTATCACATGCGCTTACGATTTCGATTTATTTCATTGTCGTTCTTCATTAGGGATAGTTATCTTCTTACTTTACGTTGATAATATGATTATTATGGGAGATGATGCGTCTAATACTTTTGATCTACAGACATATCTTAGTCAGCAGTTTGAGATAAAGAGTTTGGGTCCTATTTGTTACTTTTTGGGACTTGAAATGATTAACATAGTATCTGAGCCCACACGGATTTAGTTTTGGACCTCATACTAATAGAGTTCATGTAAGACTGATGAGGTGTGAATTTTTTTTTTTCAATTTTCAATGTGGGACTTGGGTTTGCACCACAACAATATTCCATTAATTTGCACACCTTGAGCTGCCTTAGCTACACTGAAAAATTCTAATAACGAGGTTAATGAGGGGAAGGGCGAGGGCTTTCCACCACCAAGACTTATAAGGTATGAAATTTTCTTTTTAATTTCCAATGTGGGACTTGTCCACCACCACAACCAATGTCCAATACCGTCCAGTCCACTTCACCAATCAACCTGGCTCTTATGCCCACCACCACAACCAATGTCCAATATTATTCAGTCCATTTCACCAATCAACCTGGCTCTGATACTACTGTTGAGACTATTCAACTCAACATTAGTATGATATTGTCCGTTTTGGGCTGAGCCTGCACGAAGAACTCGAGACTTAAGGCTCTGATACTATGTTAGATGAATTTATGTTAAAAATAAATGTGTAGTTAAATGGTTTAGTGTATGTAAGTGTATACATGAGGTCATGTGTTCATTTCTCACATTTAACATATAAAATTTTATTAATTAAAAAAAATTAAAATGGGCCAAATGAGCTTTCTGGCCCAAAATATTGTTGGGTCGAGCCGGTATTTTATCTATATTTAATTAAAATGTAATTTTAAACACAAATACCGCAATGTAAGATTTAAGTAATACATTGTATCCATTGTTCCTGCAAGCTTTAATGTGTCTCCTGCAAAACGAAATATTTGTACATATGAATTCAAATCATCCAACATTAGCTTTAGCCCATCAACTCGAACCCGACTAGACAATCCGATTATAATATATTAATATTAATTAATATATTTATTATATATGTAAAATAATTCTCGTTTGATAATTAATATACACATTAATTTAAACTAAGTTCAATTTTAAATAATCTAAACTAATTCCCTATACACATTACATTAGAGCCGACAAAAACTAACATAACACGACAATTCTAAAAAAATAATTGGATTTGAATAAAAGAATTTGACTTGATTGTGTATACGGGTCAACACGAACCCAACACGATAATAAACGGGTCGGGTTAGGGTTAAATGATTTAATCCGTTTAAAATATTCAATCCGACATGATAATAAATGGGTCGGATTAGGATTAAGTCATTTAACCCGTTTAAAGTATTCAACCCGACACGACTTGACCCATTGCTAGGTCTATATATTGCTATATCGGTTCAAAATGTTGTCTTTTTAGATATGACTTCAGTTGAAGTTCCAAAATATTCAGAGTTGTATTACTGTATAGGTCGAGCCAGACACACTATCCTTGTTCATGCTGCTACTGGATAGGTCGGGATTCTGTTCTTTACAAAATGTAACTAAACTTCAAGGACTGTAGTCGAATATGGGGTTCACCAAGCCCCGTTTCCACGAGTGTTTCTATAATAGCTTAGGTTTGTCTACAAGAAAGAGTGAAAATGATTTTTGAATGCATTTGCTTGTTGTGAGGCCTCTTTCTTAAACCTAAACTATGAGTGATATTCAAGTAAAAAAAAAAAAAAAAAAAGAAAAAGAAAAAGGGAACTCCTTTCCACAATGAGGAAAAATGAGAGAGAAGGGATAATTGCATCTTTAAAGCCATCTCCAACGCAACGTCATTTTTTACGTTGCAGATCCATATTTGGAGATTTGCCTCTCCAACGCAACGCTATTCCCATCACAATTTTTGGTGTTTGATGTTGCAATGTAGCAACGCCAATTATTGTGTTTTTATTTTAATTTTTTAAAAATTTTTTTACAAATTGTAAATTGGTCCCTACAAGGACGAATCTGTAATTTTTTTATATTTTAATTGTGTATATTTGTATTTTTTTAATATAAAAAATTATTTAAAATAATATATAAAATAGAATATTTAGAGAATATTCTTTTTGGAGTTGAAATAAATTTGTGATTTGGAATTAAATTATTGTAGCAACTCTAATTTTAGAGTTATAACGGCTTGAAGATGGCCAAAGAAAAAAAAAAAAAAAAAACTAAGTAAACTATCTCACAACAAAATTGTTGAATCAATTTTGGGATAAGCATATGGTATCAAATTTTGCCCTTTTCAATTCAGACTTATGAACTATAAAACCTTAAGGCCTTAATTAAATTGCAGCAATTAATGTAATTCGAGCAGGGAAGGATGTAAATCGAAACAAACATATGCCTCATAGCTTTCAAAATTCCCAAACTAAATATACGAAAGGGAATTCAATTGCACAAATTCAGTATCTCGTCATCGTATGTGCCTTAAAATTAAGGCTAAATTGCACAATATCTACCAGTGTTTTAGGAAATTGCGTCAAATTCCCATACTTTTAAAACTGTGTCAAACTCCTTCGTTGTTTCATAAACTGTGCGTCTAACCCCTCGGCGGTCCTTATTTAAAGGTATTTGACCTAAATGCCCCCAAATTGCGACTAAATTTTAGAAACTCAATTTCTAAGCCCCTAAAATTTAAAATATATTTACTTTTCTTATATTTAACCTAAAAAAACAGTAAAAATAAATTATTAAAATATGAAAAAAAAAATTTAACTATTTTGAGTATATTTACTATTTTTGTTGAGTCTAAATATAAGAAAAATGAATATATTTGTAATCGTAGGGGTTTAAAAATTGAGATTCTAAAATTTATTTGCAATTTGGGTAAATTTAGGTCATTAAATAACGACCGCCGAAGGATTAGAAATAGAGTTTATGAAACCACAAAAAAGTTTGATACAATTTTAAAAGTACAGGAGATTAGGCGCAATTTCGTAAAACTGCAGTTAGGTTTGGTGCAATTTTGCCTAAAATTAACATGCAGCAAATACACTCAAATAATCTTAATTATTCGATCAAGAAATTCAAAACCTTAATACTTTAATTAACGTGGAAAAAGTTCAATAAATAATTGTAAATCATGGCAAACATATGAACCCTAGCCTTTGAAACCCCCAAATTCAATATACGAAGGGGAATTTCAGTTACACAAATTTGGTACCTCGTCGTATTGTTTTTTTTCAGCCTTAGGTTGCTTTAAAAGCTTCGCTTCTCCTCCTGATTAAGACAAAAAGTACACAAGACAACGCTGAGAAAAAAAAAAAAAAAAAAAAAAAAACTCAAATATCAAAAACAACAATGGTAAAAACCCAATCTAATTGCTTGTTGTCGACGACGACTACCTCAAAGTGGCAGTCTCAAAACAATCCCCAAAATTTCAAAATCGGTGATGCAAGCAAAAACAACAACGTCCCCAAAATTGGTGATACAATATATAAAACAAACAATATGTCTTAAGGGATGGTCTGGTGGTATATGAGTTGGACTTGTGACCGAACCCATTGCGCACTTTCGGGTAGCGACGGTGATAAAGCACAAACAACAAGTATAGTGAATGCACGAAATGAAATAAAGTGAATATATATATTTTTTTTAACTGTATTCCAAAACGTTTCTTTTATTTTTGAAAAATATCTTTTGAAATTAATTTTTTTGAACTTTTATTCTGTTGTATTAGTAAAATTTTATATTCTCTATAAAACAATATCCTTATTGCTATACTTTTAGTTTCTAATTTAATTTTAAAATTATATTATTTGATATAAATATATAAATATTCTCTCCAATTATACTTTTTCCATCCAGATCCTTCCAAAATCGAGCAAAAAATATTGTCGGCCAATTGTACGAACAACATTGAAATTACGGAATTAGACATTAGGAAATCCCAAATCTCAAGTTTGTATAACCCATAAATACCGTACGCTGATACTCTCAGAGAGTATAATCGGAA